ATTCAAGCATTAATAAAAATTATATCAATATATATAGCAAGAACCAAAAAAACGTATCTCAAACTCGGTCAACTTCGTAACATCTGCGTTGTTTCTGTAAAAAAAGAAAAATAGCACCAAGTTATACACTGTACAGTAATATAGTAAAAATAACAAACTTTAATACTAATAAAAATAATTGTTAATAAAATAATGTTACAGTAATTTAAATGGCAAATTGACTGTTTTTTTCCAGATACAATGTAAATAAATAACAATAATAATAATAATAATAATAATAATATAGAACATCATATCATATTTTAGTATTTATTTTATTTGCTGTATTTGTTATGTAGTAGAAAGCGTAGGATTCATAACAAAACGAAATTAGGCCTAGTTATATTAAATTTAGCGTTTCGAAATTCCATTGGCGCTCCATATATTTGTTGAAAACAAACCGCGACCGAAACGAAGCGCGACCGAAATGATCTGTATTCAGGCACCCTACCTAGGCCTAGTTTGTACAGGCCTCCTCTTCTATACACTCTTTATACATCGATCTAAGGTTTTTTAATTTGTTACAAACGTGCTGAGCCGTCGTGTCACCCAGACCGTTTAAACGTTTATCTATAGCTCAAAAACACGATTTTTTTTCCTACTTTTTTTGTCTTCGGCAAGATCTAAAAATTCTGGTTCAGACCAAATGTCAATTAGGTCGGACAAGTCAGAGTCCGACCAAACATATCTATTACAGTATTGGTCATTATAACAGATAACTTAAAATATCACCGTACTGATCAGTGAAAAACAAAAGGCCTGTGCGGGGAAAACTAAAACAGAGCAGATGGAACGCCATCGCTGCCTTCGGTAACAGCTTACCATTCGGCGCATTTACATTCGGCCCTTTTACCATTACGTTCGGCTCTTTTACCCTTCGGCGCATTTACATTCGGCCCTTTTACCATTACGTTCGGCTCTTTTACCATTCGGTGCATTTTCATTCGGCCCTTTTACCATTACGTTCGGCTCTTTTACCATTCGGCGCATTTTCATTCGGCCCTTTTACCATTCGGCCCTTTTACCATTCGGCGCATTTACATTCGGCGTATTTACATTTGGCGCAATTACAAATAAAATATAACCTTTGACATGGGGTCAAATAAAAAAATTCAACGGCTGTGGGAATGAGCCTATAAGAACTAGAAGAAGTAGGCCTAAGTCTAGAGCCTACGGCAGAATTATGGCAGTTTCATTAGGCAGAATCATGCAATTTTAAAGTTAAATATTTCATTTTAGAAGTAATATCAATGGATTGTACATAAAAATAGGATTAAAATGAGGGGTCAACCATTCCTATGGGATAAGCCAAAGCGGAGTTACGGATTTTTGAACATTCTTCATTTCGACCAAAATGAGGACACTTTTCCAATACAAAAATCTGTGACTGTTGTGTGTAAATATAGGGTATAGGCATTAATGTATAGTAATTATTGTAGTTTACTGTATAGTGCAATATATCATAATATATTGAGGCTTGGACCCCAAAGAATTAAAAATCTATAAAACTATCACTTGATAACGGAACGAGGAAGGCATTACGCGTGTTATGCATCACGGAACTTTGCTAATTGTATATTCAAAATGGCCACCAGTTTCCTCAAAT